AGAACCTTAAGAGAACAGTTGTTGAGGGATTTGTAGGACCTGAGGAGGTGTAGGAGTTTTGAAGGACCTGAGGAGACCGGGTGTTGGGGGTTTTGAAGGACCTGAGGAGACCAGGTGTTGGGAGTTTTGAAGGACTTGAGGAGACTATAGTTGGGGCTTTTAGAGGAACTGAGGAGACCAGGTGTTGGAGGTTTTGGAGAACATTGAGACCAGTTGTTGGAGGTCCTGAAGATACCATATGATGGAAGTTTTGGAGGACATGAGACCAGTTTTAGACCCCCAAATCCTGGGGATTTTGGAGAACCTTAGAGACCAGATGTTGGAGGTTTTGGAGAACCTTAAGAGGCAGGTGTTGGAGGGTTTAGAGGACCAGAGAAGACCAGTTTCTGGGGGCTTAGGAGGACCTGAGAAGACCAGTTTTAGACCCCCAATTCCTGGGCATTTTGGAGGGCCTTACGAGACCAGTTATTAGGGTTTTTGGAGGAAATGAGGAGACCAAGTGTTGGAGGTTTGGAGAACCTTAAGAGACCAGTTGTTGAGGAATTCGTAGGACCTGAGGATGTGTATGAGGTTTTGAAGGACCTGAGGACACCAGGTGTTGGGGGTTTTGAAGGACCTGAGGAGACCATGTTGGAGGTTTTGGAGGAACTGAGGAGACCAAGTGTTGGAGGTTTTGAAGGATCTGAGGAGACCAGGTGTTGGGGGGTTTGGAGGTCCTTAGGATACCATGTTGGGGCTTTTAGAGGAATTGAGGAGACTAGGTGTTGGAGGTTTTGGAGAACCTTAAGAGACCGGTTGTTGGAGGTCCTGAAGAGACCAGATGTTGGAGGTTTTGGAGGACATGAGGAGACCACTTGTAGACCCCCAAATCCTGGGGGTTTTGGAGGACCTGAGGACACAAGTTGTTGCAGGTTTTAGAGGACCCGAGGAGACCAGGTGTTGGAGGTTTTGGAGAACCTGAAGAGACCAGTTGTTGGAGATTTTGGAGGACCTGAGGAGAACAAAATGTTCTCCAGTATGTCCAACAACTTTATCGGCCATTTTGGTGGACCTGGGGAGACCATAGTTGTTGGGGGGTTTAGAGGACCTGAGAAGACTAGTTGTTGGATGTTTTGGAGGACCTGAGGAAATGTCATTTTTTCTTTCTTAAAATGATTATTTCACTCAGTAAGTTTCTTTCGGATGCTCCCTTCTTCAGGGGTCACCACAGCGGACAAAGTCACATGAAAGATTTGGCCATTTGTTTTATGCCGGATACCATTCCTGACACAATCTGAGCTCAAACCCACAACCTCTGGATTACAAGGCTACAGGCTTTCAGCTCATTCAGTCATTTAATACTATTTATTTGTAATAACTGATCAATTTTAATTAAATTTTTCACAGTACAGACAATCAAAACACCTTGTTTCTAAAACACTGTGCAGAATTGAATTTCATTTATGAAAAACTACAAACACCTGAAACTGACTTTCTCACAGAGAGAACTTCGGGAGTTTTGGAGAAAAATCAAAGTTAAAACGGAGACACTCATCTTTGCTTTAATCTGTGGCATGCAAATATTCAAATATTCAGTCTATTACCATTAATATTTTTTTAATTCTAAGAAGTAAAGCAGCAGACAACAACTCACAAAGACACTCAAGCGGGCTGCCTCTCGAGGACCAGAAGTGTGCTCACGTGCACAAGTTGCACATGTCTGTTCAATGAGGACAACACTCTGAACACATTAACATTGAATATTTTTACATTTAAAACTTTGCTCGCGTTCATATCTGGAGTGCGCGTTGACACCAGCCTTTCCAGCTGGGTATATTTGCTCATGCCAAGAAAAGTTTTTCTGAATTGTTTACACACAAATCCTGGTACTTGAGACACAATGACCACAACATGTTAGCACACTGATGGCTGTTTACTATTCACAGGGGGTTGAGTGATACTAGCAATCACAGCATTGTAAGAGGGGGACAATTGAACCCGCAGGCCTCCACCCCTGTTTAATGATGGACGATTTCTTTTCACAAAGATGGCCTCCTTTACTCCTCTCTCAAACCTTCGTTCCTCTCTGTCCTGGATGTGAACATCTTCATCCCTGAAAGAGTGACCGCTGGCCTGGAGATGAGTGTAGACTGCAGAATCCTGGCCTGATGATGTTGATCTTCTGTGCTGGGCCATCCTTTTGGCCAGTGGCTGTTTAGTTTCCCCGATGTAAGACTGATCACAGCCCTCCTGACACTGAACAGCATACACAATATTACTCTGTTTGTGCCGGGGGACTGGATCTTTGGGATGAACCAGTCTTTGCCGTAATGTATTTTGGGGTTTAAAAGCCACTGGAACATTATGTTTAGAAAATAAACGTCTCAGTTTCTCTGATACTCCCTCAACATACGGAATGACCACTGGTCTGGGTTCAGAGGACCAGATTGAACTTTTTTGGATTTTTCTACCTGGATTATTGAGCATGCATCAGGATAACATCTGGACCAGTTTCTTTAAGTGAGAAACGTTTCATGGGCGGCTGTGGACAAGTGGTTAGAGCAGTAATCTTCCAACACAAGAGTTGGGGGTTTGAATCCACAAGCAGTCACATGCCATAGTGTCCCAGTGCAAGGCACTGAACTCATTGCCTCCGATGTGTGTCCCATCGGTGTATGAATGTGATCTAAAGCTCTGATTAGTCTCTTTAGAATGACTTGTTCAATTATGAATGGGTAAACGAGGACACAGATTGTGGTCTAAAGCACTTGTGAGTGTCTTGATAAGAAAGAAAGGCGCTATACAAGTACAGTCCATTTACCATTCATCTTTCATCCACAAGATTTTCAACAGTCTGTGGCCTGCCAAGAAAAGAAAACTTTTATTTCTTTAAAGTGTCCCAAAGTTAACATATACTGATATATTTTTCTACGTTTTTGGAGTGGAAATATTTTGGCATGACATGCGTGACCATTGCTCAACGACCTGTTCAGGGTTCTGATGGGCAGATTAGCTTTTTGTTTGGCCTGAGGGGTGTTGAACAACCGGTTAAAGGTCTTGTTAAGGGTTTTAACAGGCATAGCTGCATTTTTTTGGCATTAAGGTTGTGGCTACTGTTAAGTGACCATTAAAATGCCTGTTAAGGGTTTATTTAGACTCCACCAAGTCACGATTTGATCGGTTATTTCAGGGTTTTCCATTCTAAATCCAATTTATCAGTATGAGCAGAGCTATTCCTTTACTTGTATGAACAACATTCATAGTTATTGAATGTTAGTGTTTACTTTTTGTGAAGCACCGTTGACTCCATTTAGTCTTTGATTTGAGTGACAACTGTCTGACTGAACCCGGTGTAACAAACTGGACCCCATGTTGAGGAATATTATAATTTACTTGAAATTTGTCAGATCTTATGTGACACATGTGAGCACTGGTTCCACAAGCAGTGCTTGTTGTTAAACTATGGTCTTAAGAAACAACAGGATCAACATCTGGAACTGCGCATTATGTACCTGAACGTGTTTATACAGAATAAAGACAATTCACTGGATAAACCTGTTCGTGCTGCTGTTTGCAGCATATCAATGAAAATGATTAAATGATTCTGGGAAGAGCAAACGTTTCTAGTTTTTGTCTATAATAAATAACTTCCTTTAAAAACCAGAAGAGGGTGCCTGATGCATATTTGTGGTTATTTTATCTTCCAATTACTTAAAAACACCACATGCCTGAAACTTACTGAGAGACATCCTGAGAATGTGTAGAGTGGAACAGAAGTAAGAAAGTTTCCCTCTTCTCAGTTTTACATCAGAAATCTGCCCTGGCCATGTTCAAAAAGACAAATCTGTCATGGCGACAGAGAATTTTATTCCCTGTTCCTAATAATAATAATAATAATAATAATAATAATAATTAAAAAAAAGATAGTAGAATACAAATACAAATCTTAGACACATTTACAATAATTCAAGCTTTAAACTGTACAGGGCCAGTTACAGTAGTCTTTCAGTAAAATCTTACAACAAAAACCAAATCCCTAGTTTAAACAAAAGAATAAAACTTTTCATGACTGCCTTATAAATGCTGAACCTCAACCTCCACTTAATGTTCTTAACTGTCAAAGCAGCAGTTTTTGTTCATCGCACCGTTTACGTCCTCTCAGTCCTTCTTGGCTTGCTTTTCTCTGCGTCTCTGTCTCGCCTCAGATGCGATTTTGAGCAGCGACAGCAGGATGGGCACACACATGGGTAGGAAGAGTGGGATGTAGATGGCAAACTTCTGATCGTCAGGAAAGTAGAGGAGATGGAGGAGTGAAGGATCGAAGAAGCCTTTCTCTGACGCCAGGATGGCCTCTTTACTGAGCTCCAGAGCAACTCGGAGGTTTCCGGCCTGCAGTTCCGCCACAGCCAGCTGCAGAGAGTTGACAGCGCTGGACACCTGAGCGACAACCGGAGCACACACGTTAGAAACGATTCTGCAACTAGAGAAGGCTGCAGGACTTTACTGAAGCTTGCACAAAAAGGTGAAGCAGAGTTGTTAAAACATAAAGCAGAACTCCTCCTAAATGGCAACAGAAAAACATCACCTAAACGCTAAAAGAAGCAAAAACACGAGCAAAAGGCTATCTAAAAGTAGCAGAACAGGAGCTAAAAGCTCAACTCAACTTCATTTTGGTAAATTACAGTAACAACATATTAAAAAAGGAAAAAATATAAAATACTATTTTACAAATCAATCATTTACCAAAAAGAAAAAGGCTGAAGCTAAGGCCTACTCTATTCATAGACTCAGCAGTCTACAATAATGAAAGATATCTACTGTCCATATACATACATACACACATTTACATTTAAATATGCATGTATATACATACATACATACATGGTTACACGATACATATGTACATCTACATAACAGTATAAGCTTTTATAATTTTACATTGTAACCTCTTAGGACCTGGCATCCACATATGCAAGAGTTCAGGTCATAGGAGGTTAAGGCTTTTTTTAAAGTTCACCAAAAAAGCACATAATTTGAGATCATCTTTCAATTCATTCCACAGTTTCACGCCAATAATGGAAATGCATCTAGAGTTTACTTCACTTTTCTCTTTAGCTTGTTCAAATATTAACAAACCTTGTAAATTGTTTTTACTCTCTCTTAACTTACCATAAATAATTTCTGAATTCCAGAAGGAATACTTTTATTCAATGCTTTATACATTATTTCCAGTATTTTTATATATACAATGTCATTCAACTTTAAAGTATTACTTTGAATAAAAAGTTTTAATTGGTTCACAATATCCCACTTTATTAATAAGCCTAATTGCTTTTATTTTTTGGTAACTTTACTAATATGTAGTATAATAGTTGATTTATTTGCAGTTCCTCATATTTCTGAGCAATATGACAAATAGGGCATAACCAAGGAAGAGTATATAATATGCAAGGCTTTTACATTTATTAAATCTTTTATTTTAAACAATATAATAGGAGGAGCTAAAAGCTGAAGTAGCATATAAGAGTCAGATTCCAAAGGGAAAAATGTTTTGGGTGGTTTTTGTCTTAGGAGATCACGTATTTCTATGAAATATAAAATTGACACAGAAACATTACGTCTCATTTTACCTGCTCAGCAATGTTGTCGTTGATGACAATGTTGCCTATCTGGTCCAGCAGCTGTGAAAGTGAGGTAATGGTCGTTGTCGCTGTTGCAATGTTCTCCACACAGCGGCTCCACATGAGGCGGTCCAGCTCCCAGTCAGCTAAGCCTGCGCTGCCGCACGGCGCTACCAGGACGCCGTGGAGAGGAGGGGAGGACTGCACCCCCAGCAGCAGGCTGACAGGAAACATTTCAGCAGAGTTACTCTGCGTGCGCGAAAAAGAAATGGCTGTCCAAGTGACGGTCCAAAACTTACCGAAGCTGTGCGAGGAACACTCCCATGACTTCAGCCATGTTGATGTTGACGTCAACTGGAAACTCAGCCTCTGGACCATAAAAACGGTTCACATTGTAAACCTAGAAACACATGAAGAAACATGTCCTCTTGTTTAACTATGGAGGCCAACATCATTTCAGAAAATCCACCAGAATCCAACAGAAAGAAAGTTGAACCCTGAGTCAATCCATGAAAAACAAAGTATCAACCTCTAAACCAGGGATATTCAACTGGTGGCCCAGGGGCCAAATCAGGCCCATGGGTGAACTCATTTTAGTCAATCAATGGGTTCATTTTTAAATAAAACTAGATTTTAAACCATAAACAAACTTACTTCATGACAGTAACAGCTGGATGTCCGGCCCCTGAGCTCTTGGCTTTCAGTAAGTGTGGCCCCCTGAGCAATTTAGTTGAATAGCCCTGCTCTAAACCTATAATTAACCAGTGGATTTGAAAATTACACATGCTCATTTAAATGGTTAATGATTTATTTTAGGGTGTTCGTGTTCACTAAATGTATTTTTCATGTTGTACATCTCAGACGCACCTTTGAGGCTTTCTTGGTGCAGAAGTTTAAAAATGTGCACAAGTCCTGTCACTTTAATTTGTTTTCCCGTTGGTAAAATTACCATACCAGTTTATTTAAAAAGCCCTTTAAACAACCACAGGACCAAAGTGATGCAGTCAATAAAACAACAGCAGTCACACTACATATCTGGTAATTAAAACATTTTAAAGCTAATCAAAACAGCATTTTAATAAACAGAAACACACAGATTCAATAAAAATAAATTAAAATTAAACTTAAAGTCAGATGGGTTTTAAGCTGTGATTTAAAAACAGACAGGAGGACGAGCGTCTGATGCTCGAAGGCAGATCGTTCCATGTTTTAGGAGCAGCAGCAGAGAAACACGATCACCTGGAAGCTGTTGCTCAGTTTTTGGGACTCTCAGGAGCAGCTGGCCTGCTGACCTGAGAGAAGGGCGGGGCGTGTAGGGGTGTAGCAGCTCAGTGAGATAAGGCGAGGCAAGACCATTTAAAGCTTTACAAACAAATTAAATAATTTTGAAATGATTCATGAAATCTACAGGCAGCCAGTGCAGCGAGGCAAAAAAAACCCACAAAAAAAACAAACAAAAAAAAAACAGGAAATATGCTCATGGATTTTTTTGTTGTTGTGCCAGTTAAAAGACGTGCAACAGCGTTTTGGACCCTCTGGGAGGTTGGGAGGCGATCAGCCGAGTGGTGATGAAGTGGATTACTGTCTCAAAGATCTTTCTAGTAAGACCTGACTTGACTTTATCTGCCTTAACTGAGGCTGAACAGTTTGTTGCAGATGTAACAAACTAACCATCAGCAGAACATCTGGTCCATCTGGGATCAAGAACCAGGGAGCAACAAATATTAGACATAGAGACAGACGTCGAGTCAATCAAGTATCATTGTATTCAGTCCAGTTACAACAGGACAACTACTAAAATTACATTCAGGAGATTTTTGATTGATTTTTTTACATTTCAGCCTCTATTTTCCACGAGAGGCAGACATTTCCTATAATTCTGTAATAGAGCAACTGAAGCGAGTAGCTGTGATAATTTACATATGATACAAAGCAAAATAATTAAAAACCACAATAATTTAAAGTTCACGCTCAATAATCCAGGTAGAAAATACAACAAAGTTCAGTCAGGTCATCTGGATGGTTTCTTTTTTGTTGAGACGTTTCGACTTTCATCCAAAGGACTTCATCAGTCCGAGGAGCCATAACAAACTTGAGTCCCACAAGCAGCACACTCACATGGTGGGACAACCAGTTTGATGTTCTCCCTTAAAGAAACTGGTCCAGATAAAATGATTTAGCTTTTTTTTTTGTCATCTACCTGGACGATTGAGCCTACAAACCTTTTTTTTTAACCAGTTTGATGGTGACAAGATGGTTTCCGGGGCCCACCCTCTCCCCTGTCGACTCCTCTGAGGCAGCCATGACCAAAGTGGTTCAAAACATCAAAGTTCATGCTCAATAACCCAGGTAGAAAATCCAACAAAGTTCAGTCAGGTCTTGTTTTCATGTTTTGAACCACTTTGGCTATGGCTGCCTCAGAGGAGTCAACGGGGGAGAGGGCAGGTCCCAGAAACCACATTCTCACCAGCAAACTGGTTGGTCCACTATGCGAGTGTGCTGCTTGTGGGACTCAGTTTGTTGTGGCTCCTAGGACTGATAAAGTCCTTTGGATGAAGGACGAAACATCTCAACAAAACAGAAACCATCCAGATGACCTGACTGAACTTTGTAGATAACCACAATAATGCTGTCTTCCCTTCATCCAGAATGATTTACATGATCTTACCATTATTCCTCCCCAACGTGGAGAGTGAAATGCATTAGAGGGCACTTCCTGTTTCCTGTGATCCTGGATGTAAAGAGGTGAGTGGTGAGCGTCGGGGACGTACAAAAGAAAATTCAAAACGGGGTTGGACGATGCAGCATTGGAGCCTGCCAATCAAATAATGTTTGTGTTATAATCAACAAAATGTTCCATCTTTTCAAAACTTGTACAGAAAAATCCCCGTCTTACCCAGTCGGGCCTCCACGGGGTTGATGACGTGAGCGAGGCTGTCAGCGTTCAGGATGAAGGCACTGCGGCTGCTGTTGAAGCGAGGGTTCACACCGAGCACGGCGTAGTACAGCGTCTTTAAAACAACCAGTAGGTGTGTGAGCACCTGTCACACACAGCCGGACTGAAATCAAAGAGCCATTCTTACCTGAGAGTCTATGCTAAAGTTGGCCACAGAAGAGAGCTTTGTGAGGAAAGGCTGGATGTAGGTCTGAACTGCGCCCTCGATGTCCCAGTGCAGCTGGTGGGACTTTGGGTCAGGGTTCAGCAGACTGAAAGTTATCTCAAAACCTAAAGGCAGGTAGAAGTAAACAGGTGATAAACAGAGTGATGGTAATAAAACATCAAGCCGTTTGTGTTCGCAGCTGAAGAGAGCCCAACCTGGACTGGATTTGAAGGCTCTCATGCTGTCAGCGATGCTCTCCTGGCTGCTGGGTTTGAAGCGGACTCTGTCACTGAGGGCAGCCTTGATGTCGGCGTGGCTGAACGACATCACCTGCAGCACCTGATTGACGCGAGGCTCCAGGTGAGAGAGCAGCTGCTCCAGAGACTTACCCACTCCCGTCAGGGTACCGATACGAATCAGGGCGGTTCGACGCTGACCGATGTACACGTTCACATTCTGAAAGGAACAAGGAAACAGGCCTGAATAATCTTATTGTTTATTAAAACGGGAAACTAAACACAAATACACAACAAAATGAACAAAAACAAGCTGAAACCCAGCCGTCAAAGCTAAAAGAAGAGCACTAGCTAACAGCATTAAGAGGCTAGAAAAACAGGCTAAAATTAACAAAACACTAGTTGACTTAGCAAAAGGTTGGCTAAAATCTAGCCAAAGGGTAGCTAAAAGCTGAAGTAGCAGCAGGCCAGCTAATAGCCAAAACTACCTAAAAGTAAAAGCATCAAAACACTAAAAGACAACAGTAGCATAACTTTAGCTAAAAGTAGTAAAAACCTAGCTAAAAGTGAAACACATAAAAATGGACGTTAAATCTAAAACGTTTTTCTTATTCAAACTATTTTTTGTTTTAGTTTGTTTTCAGCCATTTTATTATACTTGTGGTTTTTCATGGTTGAGATTTAATTTAATTTATGGCTAGATTTCCTGTTTGTGAAGCACGTTGGTCAACATCGTTGCTTTTAAATGTACTATTTAAATAAAATTGACATTGACATTAAACTAACAGAAAACAAAAATAAAGCAAGCATGCTGAAACAGATTTTAAAGATACATTTGTCTGTGAAAGAAGAGATCCTGGTGTGTTTCTATAGGAAAAATATTTGTAAATAAAGTTCAACAAATTGAAAAGTATAAAAGACAAAAGTTATAGAAGCTGTCTCCTGAATGAGCTGAACCTTTTAATATTAGAATGGCCAAAATACCACAGAGTATGCAGAAGTACTTGTACTGTAAATACATGTAGAAAATAATAGTTTAAATGAGACTCAGCATTTACACATTAAAATGAGTTTTGACCTCAGGCAGCAGGGAGGACGACTCCGGGATCACGTATAAGACCAGAGAACCACAAGGACTCTCACTGAGCGTGTGCAGAGACAGATCTGCTTCTACAAAACAAGAACAGAGCGACATGACTTTCTCTAGTCTCACTGAGAAGGTAAAGTGGATGAGCGCCGGCTCACCTGCAGGAGTGGGTTTGTTCAGGGCGTCCTCCTCCATGATCGTTGCGGTGCGGTACCTCGTCTCATACCTGTACCTCAAAGTTGTCTCTTCTGGAAACAAGAGGTCAAAAATGAGCATATCTCATTCTCAAACTGCAGCGTCGTAAACGTTCTTATTACCGTTGACTACGTGTTCCTTCTCCTGCGTCTGTGTCAGCGGCAACTTCTTCTGCTGCTCCGGTGTCACGGTACCACGAGCAAACACCAGCTCCACATCAGCACTCAGCTGGAGCTGCAGAACCAAAACACTCAAATACACGAGGAGGACAGAAACCAGAAGGAGGTCGAGATATGACCAGAATCACAACAAACCTGGAGTTTAGCCAGCTGTCGTATCTGAGCGACAGGAAGCCAAGCTCGATACGTTTCAGTTGTTCGCCACCACAGAGGGACGCCCACCACGATGACCACCGCTGCAATGGACAGAGCAGCCAGCTGACCTCGTCTGCGCTCTGAAACACACAGAACAACCAGAAGACAAACAAATGGAAAAAAAATAAAACAGAAAGGAAAGACAAGCAGAAAAAAACAGGATTGTTACAGAAGAGAATGGAATTTTTTTTCTTTTTGTCTTCAAATAATCATGTTTTAATTTACAGGAAAAAAAAGATGTAAAACCACAAAAATGTAACTTTGTTTTTAAGTGAGGAAGACAAACAATCAATGTTTGGTTTTATTTTAGAAATTATTACTAAATAACAACAAAAATTAATTCTTTCCATTTCACTAAATATATTATTTTAATATAATATAATATAATTTTGTCAAATTCAGACAGTGCTGTCTACCTTTAAAAAAAAAAAAAACCTTTCAGAGATTTAACCATTAAGTTTGTCTCTGTTAAACCCTAAACTGACATCACAAACATAAACATATTTATGCTTCCTCTGAAACTTAAGATTGGGCTATGAACTAAGAACAATCCTCACCCTAAAACAAAAAAACTGTTTTCTCCTTTTGCTCATTATTGATCTGATACAGCGAAGCTCGCTGTTTTTCATCTAAACACCAGATACAGTTGTGCGTTTGTAGGAGGATTTAACAGGACGTGAAGCTTATTTATACCATGAAGTGCAGGAGAATGTATCAACAACTCATGCTGCTTCTGAAATTAAACAAACAAAAAAACCTTGATTTTTATTTTTTATAAACTCTTACAAAGTTACTCAGTTTGTCATTCATGATCCAAGCACTAAGATGCTTATCCTAAATATGTATCTTTCACTTTAAATAGATACAAATATTTAATATAATTGACTTTCCATTCATGTAGTTATTTTGTGAAATTAACTGCATTTATCTCATTATTATTTCACAATCCAACCCACACTAGTCAGTTTATTTACAATAAGTTGTTCTGCACCAAATTGAGCCAGTGTGTTTAAATAATGTTTAACTTTGTTTATCCCGTAAATCAACTCATTTTAGAAAGTGTGTCAAGATGTAAAGATTATTATTGAGCCCCAGATGTGAGACAGCTACAAGGGACTAATACTAAACTGCTGAATGTATAAACATTAAAAAACAAAATAAGGAAACCTGTGTAGCCTGTGCAGCATTGGCTAGTTAGCTGTTAGCTAACAAAACATGGAGACAACAAAAGCTTTCGTCTGCGCTCCACACCTGCTGCATTAAATGTGAAACGTATTCTAAAACGACCGTAAACTCAAGGGATGACAGATGTCTAAATACATTGAATTGTTAAAACAGAATATGAATAAACTCACCTACTTCCGTGGTTGCCATTTCTGTCAAAGAACAGAGTGCACTCGTTTTCCACTATACTACGCGGTCGCTCATCACGTGACCGGAAATGCAACAAAATTAGTTGATTTACTTAAAAGTTTTAAGTTATAACTGAGGTAAAATATACTTGAAATAATTTAATGGTGTGATACGTCCCTCGGTTTCAAGACGAACACGCGAAATAAGAGGAAAGTTAAAGAAGCAGCAGGACGCGCTGCCCATCGGCGCGACCGGTGAATAAATTAAATGCACACAAGCACTGTAGTTGCTTTGAGCAGGCAGAGCCCCCTGGTGGTGAACTGTATTCACGACAGGCTTCTTTGAATTGAGAATTTGGTTATTAATGCGTTAAGTTTAATTTGTAACGATACACGGAAACAATTACCCATTTTAATGTGTGTTCCTGACAATATCTGTGAAATGCACTTTGTTCTTTTTATTTTTTTTTTACATAATTTTCTCTTGTAAATGATTCCCCGAGGCTCAGTGGGATTAATCTGTCTAAATAAAGGTTGAATGAAAAAAATAATAATACTTGAAGCACTTTCCAACATAATAAAATCTGAAAAAACAACAGATCTGTTGTTCTTTTTACATATAACAATAACAACTTATAACAACTTGTTAATATACTTCAAAATGACAACCTCAGCTGGGGCAACAACACCACCAGCCTGATCAAGAAAGCTCATCAGAGACTCTACTTCCTCAGACGGCTGAGACGAGCTGGTCTGGGAAGCTCAGTCCTCACCTCCTTCTACAGGTGTGCAGTGGAGAGCATCCTGTGCTCGAGCATCAATGTGTGGCATGGAGGCTGCACAGCTGCAGAAAGAAAAGCTTTGCAGAGAGTGGTGAAGGCTGCACAGAAATCTGTTGGAATCAGTCTCCCCACCATCACAGACATCTACACCTCCAGATGCAGGAAGAGGGCCACCTGCATCATGAAGGACCCCACTCACCCAGCACACACACACTTTTTGCCCCACTCCCCTCAGGAAGGAGGTTAAGGAGCATTAAGTGTAGAACCACTAGACTGAGGAACAGCTTCTACCCTGAGGCTGTTAGACTCATGAATCTCTAACCAGAATAATCAATGTGAAAAACCATATCATGTTGCTGCTGATCTGTTTCAATGTTGATGTGTTCATGCGTGCACATCTGCTCACAGACTCATGTTCATGTTTGTGCTGATGTTCAATGTTTTATGTTATGAGTGCTTAGTGTATATTTAGTTGATGTTTTTCTTAGTTCATATCTTAGATGTTATTACTGTTTTTCTTATACATTTTATTGTTGGATGTAACTGGGACCCTGTGTACATAATTTCGCTCCACCACATGTACCACATGAGGTGCGAATGACAATAAAGAAACTCTGACTCTGAATAATGACAAATGACACGATTGTTTAATGATCAGTCAGAATATTTACTCTTTAAATCTATCTACTTAGAGCAAATATTCTTATTGATCATTAAACAATCATGTCCTTCATTTGTTATTATCTGAAGTACTTTAACAAGTTCTTATAAACACATGTAGATCTGCGGTGGAAGTGGTCTCCAGCTACAAGTACTTGGGTGTACACCTGAATGACAACCTCAGCTGGAGCAACAACACCACCAGCCTGATCAAGAAAGCTCATCAGAGACTCTACTTCCTCAGACGGCTGAGACAAGCTGGTCTGGGAAGCTCAGTCCTCACCTCTTTCTACAGGTGTGCAGTGGAGAGCATCCTGTGCTCCAGCATCAACGTGTGGCATGGAGGCTGCACAGCTGCAGAAAGAAAAGCTTTGCAGAGAGTGGTGAAGGCTGCACAGAAGTCTGTTGGAGTCAGTCTCCCCACCATCACAGACATCTACATCTCCAGATGCAGGAAGAGGGCCACCTGCATCATGAAGGACCTCACTCACCCAGCACACACCCTTTTTGCCCCACTCCCCTCAGGAAGGAGGTTGAGGGGCATTAGGAGTAGAACCACTAGACTGAGGAACAGCTTCTACCCTGAGGCTGTTAAGACTCTTTGGTTGGCCTTGCAGCTGTTTTAAGTGCTTTATAAATAAAGTGGTATGGTAAACTCGTGAATCTCTAACCAGACTAATCACTGTGAAAAAAATCACATGTTGCTGCAGATCCGTTTCATGTTGCTGCTGATCTGTTTCATGTTGCTGTGTTCATTTGTATTCATCTGCTCACACCAACTCATGTTCGTGCTGCTGTTCGATGTGATGTTGTGCCATTAGTGCATATTTAGTTGATGTTTTTCTTAGATCTTACAGTTTTTCTTTTACATTTTATTGTTAGATGTAACTGTGACCCTGTGTACATAATTTCGTTCCAGCACATGTACCACATGGGGTGCGAACGACAAATAAAAACCTTGAATCAAACAGTCCCCCGCTCTAAAATGAACTTGGTGTGACTGGAGTTGGTGAGTGGGATCAGCTGCCATTTCATTTGCATTTGGAAGATTTGATCTTATCTTTGTGCCAACTAAGCAAACACCATTTGACTTTTTTAATTTCTGCTGGTGCCAGCCTTTCAATTTCATGGGTGTAAAAATCAGTTGTCATGTACAAGTGAAATGACGCTGCAGCATGAAACAAAGCTGCAGAGTAACGAACAACTCATCTGAATGTTTTTAATCATCTCAAACAGCCACAAGCTTTATTGCTACCTCAAATAAAACTCAATAGTAGATTAATGAAATTGCTTTAAAAGAATAAATGCACGAGTCAAGCAGAACATCTTTCTTGGCAACTTTTCACAGGAAACCGTTTTAAGCGTTTACTCAATATCTTTAATAATAGACAATATTTTTCTCTACTAGTTCACCCTTTCTTTCCACGAGTTGAACTTTTGGTCACACAATACTTGAACATATAACATTTGTATTAACTTGTTAAAATGTCAAAGTGTTTAACCCAGTTTCACTCTAGTTAGATGACTTGTGGGCTGTTGGTAATGACTCGGTGTGTGTGGCTCAAATAAGTTCATCACCTGACTGGCTTTACAACATCCCCTGTATAATTATTAGCTTGTGAGGTGAACGTCTGTCAAACTGCATCCAAAATTGCATTTAGATCAATAATTTAAAAAACAAACAAATAATCTGGTATTTTGTGTAATTTCAAGTTTATTTTCTCCACTATACACCAACCGTTTTGAAGATGGTTATCAGCATCACAAACACCACAGTATTCCAACAAAGCAGTGCCCGTTTCTGCGCAGCTGACCCCCACGTGTTGGTCCATTTGATCTTTACAACAGAAACTCATCTGATCTTCAGTGTGGGGGCAAGCAGGAGGAAACTGTAGGGCAGCGAGGGAAGGGGAGGGGGGGCACAAAAACCACATATTGACAATTTCACACAACTAAAATACATCTATAGGTGTTACTTAAAGCTAAAGTTATACTGAGAAGATACACACGTGATGTTTTTAGTTAATAATGGTCATAAGGAGTGCGAGAACTGAAGGTTTGGGCTGAATCCGGTTTATTTCAGTACCGTTTGTTTAATGACCACTGCTGGAGCCACCACCGTGTGAAGGAACTGCTCAGTTTAACGTTTTCACTCTGTTCTTGTTATCCTGTTTGTCCATTTAATGAATGTTTTGATCATTTCTAGGTTGGTCCCGGTGTGTGTGTGTGTGTGTGTGCGTTTAAATAAAGGCCCAACGTGTTCTGACAGAAGCGCCACACTGACACGAACATGCTCACCTGGGCCTGTTTGGGAGCAGAACCTGACCTGGAGAGAGGTGCTAATATGATGAAAAAAATAAAATACTGACAGTTTCTCTCTTGCATTCTGCAGCCTCTAAACTTCAAACCTAAACTCAGACATAAAATTCAAAACTTCCGTCATATATTATCTTAAATCCATCTTGTTTAAACAGAACAAAAACAAACCCTGCTCCCTACAGAACTGCAGTTTTAAATACACATATCTAGTAACGTTAATAAATCTGAGAACAGGTTACAGTAGACAGCACAGGCCTGTGACTGATGGAGGAGTGGGGGAATAGCAGAGCAGATATTAAGACTAGAACTAGGCCACAGCTGAATGCAGTGGGTTGATGTTTAGTAGGCGTGGTTGGCCACGTAGAGGGATTTGGAAGCAGCGCCACTGTCTCCAGAAGACTTGTATTTGCCGAGTGCAGCCTTGCTGTTAGCCTGGAGAAGACATGAGGAATAAAAGTTTAATGAACAGAAATCCGTCACAAATACGGATGCTCTCAACGTGTCATTTTATCTGGGCTGACCTCGGCACGTTTGATAAACTCCTCGGTGGCAGCCTTCTCGTTGCTCAGCTCTCCTTTCCAGGCGTTGAGGGCCGAGGCCTGCAGGGCGCGGCCGTAAGAGAAAGTCAGGGCCCAGGGTTTGAGGAGAGGACATGTGTTGATGGAGTTCAGATTCACGCTAGCCTCCTCTTCAGACTGCCCACCTGACAGGAATGTCACTCCTGCAGAGACAAGAGAAAAAATAAAAATAAAAAAAATTATTCTGCTGCAATTTTACTTACACTAAACATTCAAAAGCAAAACGCACATTTAAAGGAATCTTCGACCTCTTGCACATATTGGCCTCGATATATTTCTCTATTCTACTAACTTTTTTAAATCCTACTCAAAAATCCACTACAATTCCCTGGCATTCAACACTGTATGATCTGTGCTGAACCTGTATGCATCACACTGTTATGTTATCATCTGCTATTATTTTGTTTCTATATTTTGATTTTACGTTATGTTTTATGTTGCTGTGTGCTTTGCCTGTTTGTACAGCACTTTGGTTGGCCCTGTCGCTGTTTAAAGTGCTCTATAAATAAAAAGGTATGGTACTAAAAGTTGCTGTTTGTGACACATAAACTCCTAATTACTAAAAAAAAACAACAATAATTTATGTTTATTACATTTTTCACCCAAGGACGTCTGCATTATTTTACTAGTGTCTTGCATTGTGGGGCGATGACAATCATTTTTCGAGGACATTAAAACACAAGGAGTCAAGGCTAAAGTGTGACATGAAACATGTGACAAAGTTATATCTAGTATTAGTCTTTATGCACAAAGTGTTTTTCCCCTATCATTATACAAGCAGGGTGCTCTGTCCTGTCAATAGGACTGAGCGCCCACCCCCACCCTGTCGACACTTGTGTAGCACTAAGCTAGCAGCGCACAATATAGACACGCTAACTAAAAAGCTAGGTAACGCTCCGCTTCCCTCACGCTGAACAGTCGACAAAAATCATGGAACAGACGAGCGACCTGCCAAGGCATGTAGAGGAAACACTGACAACATATGGGTTAAAACGATCAAATGTGATCAACTTGTGATGTTTCTTAGATCTGGATTGAATGCTAACGCTATTATTTCCGGAGGCAACGTCTTTTATAGTAGCTCTTACAATTTACTTAGAATGTATTGAAGCGTAAATAAAATAAAATATTGTCTGCACGTCATTAATTTATATAAAAAAATAAAATAACCAGTCTACAGTACTTTACGTCTCGTTGCTGAAGTAATTGTTAATCAGCAAGTCCTACAGTTCCAACTAGTCAGAGATCCCTGTAAGGTTTCAACAACAATTTTCAATATTTCTTAAAACTCGAGAGAGAAAAAAAAATAAAATAAATTTGTTTCTAGGGATTTAAAAAAGTTATTGTAAATCATAACCCCGTGTAAACATTTACACCTTATACTTTTATTTATAGATCTTAAAGGATAATGTTAGAGGACTAAAGACGGAAAACTAAAACATCAAAATATAATTTCAGTTTTAAACCCTGCAGTCTGTGTGCAAGTAGAAGTGTTCTCTCCATCACCTGTGACAGCTGGGGGAACGGTGCGGCGCAGAGCGGTCACCGTCGCCATGGCGATCTCCTCACTGCTGAACTTTGTGGGACAAGAGTGTCCAGCTGTGACCATGTTGGGTTTCAGCAGTGTCCCCTCCAGGTACACATGGTGGTCCGACAGAGCCTTGTACACAGCAGCTAGAACCTGACAGCAGGTACGAGGAAAGATTAAATCCAAAACGTTCTGCTACGCATGTGGAGCTTCATCTGGGCTGGCAAACACAGTTTACCTTCTCTGTGACATACTGGCAGCGCTTCAGGTCGTGGTCTCCATCAGGTAGGATCTCAGGCTCCACAATTGGGACAATCCCGTTCTAGAAGACAAAGTCTAGTTTAAACTTTCAGTGTTCTCATAAATCAGGAGTTAATACAGCAGCTCAGAAGAGCCAAGAACCAGGTTTTAAAACAGCGTATAAGTTCACACCGACCTGCTGGCAGATGCTTGCATATCGGGCCAGAACATTAGCGTTTTCCATGATGGCCAGCTCAGACGGCGTGGTCTCGCTGATCTTTAGCACACTGCGCCACTTGGCGAAGTCTGCGCCGTCCTTCTTGTACTGCGCGCAGCGCTCCGACAGCCCGTCCAGACCTGTATGGACACAGAACCCTCCATCAGCGACACAGCTGTGAGTTTTAGAGAAGCGCTTCCTGAACGCAGCCTACCCTGGGTGGTGGTCTCTCCATTTGTTCCAGCGAGGGGCACAACACCTTTATCCACCTAAATCGAGACAAACAAGAGGGTCTCTGAAACAGAACGGACTCGCCTTTTTTCCAAAAACACAACCGGAGTGCGGTCACGTAAACACGCCTTCATTAGGTCTGTGTATAGTTTCCAGTTTTACCTGTCAAACTACAAGGACAGTTATCATCTACTAAACTGGAACATGTGGCTGCAGAACAACGGTGGAGCAGAACTCACATTTAACCTAACATTTCTTCTAAGTTTTTTTTTGTTGAGAGAAAGCGATCGAACAGAAAAAAGTCAAAACCTAAAATCTGTCAGCTGATCTGCTGCAAGTTGAGTACCTTGATGCCGACAACGATGCCGCGGTCTTTGATGAGCTTGGCGAAGGGAACACCATCGTCGGTTTTCTGGTAGAGGGTTTCATGGAAGAAGATGACCCCTCCGATACAGCTGTCGATGCGCTCGTCGGCGGTGAAGAGCAACTGGCGGTAGCGGCGCCTGTTCTCCTCAGTGTTCTCGACCCCGATGGGGTTCAAACGCTTCGCCATGCTACCTAAAATCACCACACAAAAACTTTATTTTTGTTTTCTGTGAAAGTATAAACGTCATTATTGGATCTTGAAGCTAGCATCGTCCGAGTTGTTTAGGTGGCACCAACAATATTTCCCAGGTCTGTAGATGACACACGTACCTGTGGACTCATCGGCTGCGAGGATGCCTTTCCCTGCAGCGACTATCCTCAGAGCGATGTCCTGCAGCTCCTTCTTCTGCTCAGCATTCAGAGCGGGGTACTGGTGAGTCATGGTGGCTGAAAGACAAATGGGACATCAACATTTTATCACGGTGCAATGATGCTGGCAACTGCCCAGCTCTGCTGGTCCCACTTCTAGTCCCTCCATTGTCAAAAAAAAAAACAACAACGGGTAACTTTACACATCACTGAGCAGGATGACGTGTGGAAACGACAACGCTCTGACAAGAGATTACTCAGAAAGAAAATAAATTAATTCACACACACATTCCATTGATGCTGCGTGTCAGGGATAAAAACCAGAAGATGCTTCCTGTAGGAAATGGCCACGTATTAATTTTATGTTGCGTAAAACATCTTAATGCAGCGTTGTTCTTAGGAGTTTTAATAAATCATCTGGTCTCAGCCTCTCTGGGTCTGGTTGGTGTCTGCAGTCGAGCACAGGCCTCACACCAGATTATTCTGTTCCTTATTCCCTTCCTCACTCTGCCATAAATGAGCAGTTACACAACTCCTCCCCCACCTCCCCATGCGAGTTGCAGCAGATAGAGGGGGGTGTTATGAAACGAACGCTGTCACGGACCCTGCTGTCAGCCCTGGATGCAGCTCTGCTCGTTTTCCTCTCCTGTAGCAACACTCCTCTTCCTCCTGTTTTCTGCTAATGTCTTTATCAAACACACTCACAACTCATGTCTCTGCCTTGATTAATGAGCTGCTTCCACCATTTTGTCACATCTCGTCTCTGGCGCTGCTGCTTGGTGAATGACAGTTCTTAAATAGAAGTCATGAAAGCTAAACACATGAGGTGTTTAAAATTTTCCACTCAAGCACATCAGAGACTCGGAACACAGCAGAACATGAAGGACGAGCCTCGGCTCGCCTCTCTGCACCGTCGCTTCGTTTACCAGTATGTGTCACTAGAACGGGTCAGCTGGATCAGAGGTTCACAATGGTGAGCTCAGTAAATGTTTGTTCAGAAAATAACATAATATAGTTACTATAAAAGTCCAGGCACAGTGAAACAATTTTACTTTTTTTTTTTTTTAAATCACACAGACAGAAGACAAACAATGCCGAACAAAATGTAAAAATACATTTAGATGAATAATCAATTCCAGAAGAACACTGCACTGTATTCTGTGTTAATCCTCAATTTAAAGCTCTGAGCACGTAGCCTCAGTTAAACGGGCCTGCAGGTACCGTGGCACGACTCATTCTCTGCAGTTTCACATTTTACACAAGTGAAATTAAACCAGGTCTGCAGGGAAACCAACAGTGATTTTAGTGAATTAAAGAAAATACTGACACCTAATAAAAACCCAGTCTAAGTCCATAAACACTGTGTGGTCACACTCAGGTGTGTGGTCACCGGTTAGCCACACAACAGTCATGCTCAGCTGATACCTGCTATCTTCTGAGAGGTACCTGCGTGCTTCAACAATACAAACATAACCGCTCAGGTTTCTGCTGAGAAAACGTTGCATAACTATTGTCCAATCCACGTGAAATTTACTTTTTGTGCAACAACTAGCCAAAAACAATGAAGGGTTGGAGAATCTGAGGTGTTTTTGAGTATCTTTATCAAAACACTTGCTCTGAACAGAAAATGGGAGTTCAGGTACAAGATAAGGTTTCGTCTGACTGACCAGACCCGAGAGTAAACAGAACTGTAAGCTGATCATCTGTCAGAGGCAGGACACCAGGCACGCCACACTTAATCAGCCTAATGTAAGGACAGGTTTTATTCTTTTACTCACTGGTTCCACTTCCAGCTCCTTACAGACCCACGGTCTCAGCAGAACCAAGCCCGCCTTCTCTCTCCCGTTTTAGTTATGGACTCATAGGGAGACAAGCTACTGCTCGTAGACAAACTGCTTCCTGTTTTGTATTTGTGTGGTTTTACCGACTGCTGCAGATTAAGAAAGCCAATAAAAGTTTAGATGCCCACCAAGATGAGAGAACTGGTTTTATAAATGGCTGTACATGTTCAAAAATCTTTGATATACACACACACACACACACACGAGTAATCGTCTGTAAAGTCCAATACTTTAATTTCCTTATTACACTGAATACATTTTTTTTATTTTTTTTTACTTCCTGAAATTTGACAGTGGTGCACGTTAAAAGAGGGGTGTGGCTGAGCCGTCAGGTGACCTGTCATGTTCTTGCTGACTCATTACTGCAGTCCAACCAAGTCTGTACCGAGCAGAGGACAAGATGAAGGGCACAGTTTGCTCCTGGCACTGGCTCAAGACTGCCTGAAGACGTTATCGATTTCTGTTTCAGCCTCTAAATGTATCCAGGAGACAATCCACTGGGGACCACGAGAGCAGAAAACAACCTTCACACACCTAAAATACACACTGCAAAACCTGGGAAATCAATGTATCTAATGTAATTAAATCAAAACCACCAACATGTAGAAACTCTGTCCCTGCAAACCTGGCTTACAATTTTCAGTATTAAAAAAAACAACAAAATGTATGATGATTGTTAAGTGCACAATTTATACATTTATGTTTCAGACTTAAAGCCAAGAATATATGTATATAGTGTACCGGTATGTATTTTCTACTATTTACACTGCTAAATTTAATTCTAGTTTATTGTCTTTGTAAAGTAATGTTAGAGGAACCCGACAGCTGATGTTAGCTACTTCATTAGCCACATAATCCTCCATATTGGACCGATGCTAACTGTCTTAGCTCATTTCAAACTTTTGTTTGAAACGTTACTTTTAAATGTGATGAACTTTGTAAGACATGGCCTTCAGTGATTTTAACAACTAGAAAATCTTTCAAAATGGTCAACCTCATTTTTTCAGTCATGATACGCCACTAATGAACAGCCTGATGAGGATACGAGGGACTACGCACTGAATGACTGTCAAAACTATACGTCATCTCTGGCACCACTTTAAAAGAAGTTCAAACTACACGAGTGGAAAATGTTTGTGGTTCTGCAACGGTGACTTGCTTTTAAATCCTATGAATATCAATCTCTGGTGGTCCAGTAATGTTGGAAAATCAAAGCATTTCTGTGTCATCAGTAAAATTCTTCTGAATTTCAAGACTGGCTTAGCTTCCCCTCAGTCATGTCCCAGATTTTCACCCCTGCACAGCAGATGTGAAAATCTGTTGTAATGTCTGCATTGCGACATCCAGGTGTACGGGCAGTACATAACTGTAAAAATAAATAAATAAAAAAAACAATAGAGCTATATAAAAAAAAAAAGTTAGCATTTACAGTAGAAGGCAGACTGTGTAAGCTGACGCAAAGAAATATAGCTGTATTTAGAGCAATATTAATATTAAAAAAGACAAGTAGGGAGAGGTCTTAAAAACAAACAAACCAAAAAAACGTATTAATGTTCTTTAATGCGCGTATCACCCTTGGAGGTTTAGCAGATTTATTTTGTTTAGGATGCAAGCTGTCAGAGCTTCGAGGACCTGAAATGACTCCTGAGTAGTAGCCAGAGCAAAAGTAAAAAAAGTCTGCTTGCTCTTGTTACACTAACTTTTATTTTATTTTTTAATACAAACCAGAGAGGCTGATGGCCTTGGCGCTGTTGCACATTCCTGTATTTGGGTCGTTTCTACTGTCAGGTCTGGATCCAACAGAGCGAGCAGGCGCACTGTTACCCATAATCTTTCTGATACAGGAGCTTAACCAGACAATGTGAAGGCCGTGATGAGAAGACAGGCTGACACTAGTGAAAACGTGCAGCGTATACTACAGCAATGTTTCCATGTAAAAACACAAGTGACTCCAGTTCTTAGATAGTTTGGGATGACAGGCTAAATACAAATGTGTTGCTGTGACATTCAAAGAAGAGAAATGGATGGATGAAGCATAAAAGAACAAAATATATTACTGTACTACAGTTCACTTTGATCATGTAAGAAACTAATCATCTGTGGAAAATTCACTTTTTTTAAATTAAAGAAATAACCAATTAACAAAATGATGTGTTGGTTTTCTAACAACGGAACAATCAAATCGAGGATATAATCTCCAACTCTGATAAACTGACAGTTATGTTTCATTTCAGGCTGCACGGAAATAAGTATATATATATATATATACAAGTCAGCAAATGTCCCGACGCGACGTTTTTCCACGTACAGATGTGAGTGACGTCATTACGGCTTGTCTCCACCCCGCCCAGCCTTCCTTAGTCACAGAGGTCTACGTGCGCCCGAACAGCTACACCCCGACAGGAAACAGCTTCATCACCGCCCACCCCTCATCACCTACCGCTCCGGCTGGCCACGTTTTACCACAAAATTCCCCCTGATGTTTAAATAAGAGGCCTCGGGGCCGGTTGGAACAGCAAACACGACGGAACCCGCTCCTCTCCTTCACTTCCATCTTTGAAGGTCAACCGTTGTTCGCCCTTCCTGTTGCGTATTTTGTTAACGGTCAAAAAAACAGCGATTTTATACAGATATTTTAGAGAAATATTGAGATTTAAATGGCTTAGATGTTGGCTAATAATCACATAGAAGCTACAAGTTAAAACAGTGGTGTTTTATTCTTCGCTAAGCTAGCTAGGAAGACGAGTTAGCTCGAGTTTCTGGTGCGCAGCATCTCATTCCCATCAGCATCAAACGCTGAAATCAACATTCTCGCGATCAACCAATGAAACAAGCAGTGTGTAAAGGTGTTACATATCGGTTTAGATAAGTTCTGGTTCTTACCTAAAGGCTTCTGTCTTCAGTGGACACAGAGCAGGTAAGGTATGTGAGGATGCAGAGCTGTCTCCTGTTTCAATACTGCAGAGCAACGTGACCCTTTACAAAGCCTCTGAGGCAGGGGGCGGAGCCCGCACTGTTGCGTCATGTGATGGACGACGTATCTATTGCGCATGCGCTGGATCTTGATCAGAGGGAGAAGGCATCATGATTCTGCATTTTTCCTCACGATTTTGTAAAAGTTCACGAACAAATTTCCCACTTTTAAAATAAAACACTTTCAAAACAAAGTTGATAAGAAAGACTTTTGAAAGTTACGATGATATTTCATATTTTATAGTTTCCATATTCCACATTAATAGATTCCATATTCTATATATCGATCTACAGAAGACGCCATCTCCTCTGTGGTCCACACTGCTTTCACCCACCTGGAGCAGAAGGACTCCTATGTCCGTATGCTCTTTGTGGACTTCACATCTGCCTTCAATACCATGATCCCCCAGAACCTGATGGACAAACTACTCACTAGTCTAGGACTAAGCCCCTCCATTTGCATTTGGGTCCTAGACTTCTTAACAAACAGACCGCAGTCCGTGAGGATCCACAACGTCTCCTCCTCCACCATAACCCTTAGCACTGGCCTCAGGGCTGTGTGCTGAACCCTCTCCTGTTCACTCTGCTCACATAAGACTGTGCACCTACCCATCCAGGCTGTCTTATTGTAAAATTTGCAGATGATACAGCGGTGGTGGGATGCATCACAAACAACTATGAGTCCAGCTACAGGCAGGCGATGAAACACCTGGAGAGCTGGTGCAAGGATAACCTTCACATTAGTGTGAAGAAGACGAAGGAAATGGTCGTGGACTTCAGAAGGAACAAACACACGTACACCCCTATCCCCCTGAACATAGGAGGACCTGCGGTGGAAGTGGTCTCCAGCTACAAGTACTTGGGTGTACACCTGAATGACAACCTCAGCTGGGGCAACAACACCACCAGGCTGATCAAGAAAGCTCATCAGAGACTCTACTTCCTCAGGTGGCTGAGACGAGCTGGTCTGGGAAGCTCAGTCCTCACCTCCTTCTACAGGTGTGCAGTGGAGAGCATCCTGTGCTCCAGCATCAACATGTGGCATGGAGGCTGCACAGCTGCAGAAAGAAAAGCTTTGCAGAGAGTGGTGAAGGCTGCACAGAAGTCTGTTGGAGTCAGTCTCCCCACCATCACAGACATCTACACCTCCAGATGCAGGAAGAGGGCCACCTGAATCATGAAAGACCCCACTCACCCAGCACACACACTTTTTGCCCCGCTCCCCTTAGGAATGAGGTTAAGGAGCATTAAGTGTAGAACCACTAGACTGAGGAACAGCTTCTACCCAGAGGTTGTTAGACTCATGAATATCTAATCAGGATAATCACTGTGAAAAATCACATCATGTTGCTGCTGATCTGTTTCATGTTGCTGCTGATCTGTTTCATGTTGCTGTGTTCATTTGTATTCATCTGCTCACACAGACTCATGTTCGTGCTGCTGTTCGGCGTATTGTTTATATGCTATTTTATGCTACTAGTTCTTAGTGTATTTTTATTAACATTTTTCTTAGTTCATATCTTAGATCTTATTACTGTTTTTTATTTTATATTCTAATACTTTTGTTGGATGTAACTGGGACCCTGTGTACACAATTTCATTCCACCACATGCACCACATGTGATGGAATGACAAATAAAGAACCTCGAATCCTTGAATATTGAGCATGCATCAGGATATAATTTCCATAATTATATTTCAAATTAAAAGTGGGCCAAACATGGCCAGAATGATATTAATCTTAACATGTAATGACGTTAGATACGGTAATAAAAGTTATAAACAATAACTACCTAAAGTTGTGGCAAACTGTAAAATCCTTCTTAAAGTTGAATAAAAATGAAATTGTGACTTGTGTTGCTTTGCTGTCTGCTATAAGTGTCATGTTATGATAAACATGTCATGGCATGAACATGTCATGATTGTCTTGAATTCTGATTCTGAAACAAGTATTTTATACACGTCTAATCTTGTGGCTTGGTGTGGAAGATGTCCATGCTCTTGTCACTTCCTTGCTGCAGATTGGCTGTACCAAGCTGAGAATTAGGAGTTCAAAACCCATGTCTTTGTTTTGTTTTTGAAACTCTGTTATTTCAATTAGGCAGATTTCTTACAGAACATGCACTGATGGTAAGGAGCTCTGCTTTAATATAGCTGATTCAATTAATCTTGTAAATGATTCCTCTGAGTGGGGCTCTTTCTCCCTCCACATATGCATGAGGTTCTTCAGAGTGAAGAAATCAGTGACCCTTGTCCAGTTCTGGTAGTTTTTGACCTTGATGTCGTCAGTGTGAGCTTTGGGTGTGGTGCTGTCATTTTACCTTACATGCTGTATACACAGGGGGACAAATTAAAGGGTCAAAACGCTCAAATCTTTTAACTTCTTACTAATCAATCTCCTTTAAAAGCATTACTTTCTGTGCAGACAGATGGTTCTGAGGGTGGTTCAACTGGGCTGATCATCAGTAGAAATGGGTGGGGGCACTTTGACATCCACCACTTTTAACTACAGTTAAATTCTGTGACCCAAAGGACACACAGGACAAACAGAAGGGTCAAAGCCTCACAGAGATTTTCTCACAAAGTGCTGCTGATGATACATACAGGTTAAACACCTGGTACCTGTTGGGTCCAACAAACTGAAGAAACCTTTTCAATGAGAGCTTAAACACACGCCTGAATCCTGCCTTTCTAGGCAGTCCCTATGAAAGGCAGCGGGTGAAATCAACTCCTTTAAGGAGTGCTGAGCCTTTCAGTTTCAAAAGTGTCCATGTGTAAGTCAGCCATGTTGAGCAAGTCGACCAAGTTAAGCAAATGGAAAGTGTGATTTCTTAATCCAGCACGTCTTGTAAACCTGAGGAAATAATGTGACCCAATCTGCTGAGAGTGAAGCAATATTGATCTTTTATTCACTCTGTGATCAGCTGAAAACCCGTTTCAGGAATTTTTCTTTGTGCTTTTCTTTCTTCAGACCATGCTGCAAAGGCATAAACTCTTTAATATTCTGTTAGAACACAAAAACACAACAAATAAACTGTGACACAGGGAGGAAATATTCTCTGAAATATTTAAACTTTATAAGGAGGTGCATTTTCATATAAATATGTACAAACATTTTAAGAATATAAAGCAAGCTGAGAGTCACACGAGGCATTCAGAGTAAAAGTCAGTGCAGATTTGACAAAAATGCAAAGATCAGTTGAGAGCAGCAGCTCTGAAGGCTACAAAATATCCCTGCGCTTATTAAAAAAAAACAATGAACTGGAGGTAAACAAAGCTGTTCCATGAAGGTTTGACTCGTTCACCATGATTTGCAGCTCAGGTCTGCACAGCACGTGCAAGAGTTGAGGTTCAATTTGAAACGCAGAGACTGTTCCTCTGAGTAATAATGATGCTAAATGTAAAGTTGTAGGCAGCACAGCAGAACCTGAGGCTGTGATGTTGATTCTTACCTGCATTAGAGGAGACAAAGTCATGCTGCGACAGAATTTACCAGCAGGTGAGGTGAAGTTAGGGAGGGTTTAAATCACAACATGAGCTTACATGAAAAAAAGATTTTGAATAGAAAAAAAAAAAATACGGGCAAAAATACTATTTTTACTTCTTCTGCAAAAGAAAAAGTTTCATGATGATGCAACATGAAAAACAAGGGAAAAGTTGATAAAAGTCACTTTTTTCTTAGACTTATTTCTAGCTAGAAATGAAGGTAATCAAATACAGTATGATGTACAGATAAAGACGAGCATAATTTTTCTACATGGGGTTGAATTAACTTCTATGATGCCAGAGGGGGAAAAAAACAGTAAATGGGTAAAATCACACAATCATTGAACAAAAAGGCTTCAAAGGAAGTGCTAAATAAAGAAAGGCAAACGCGTAAAGAGAAAAAATATGGAAAATCACTGATAGATAAGGGGACGTGGTACTTTTTACGCAAATGTTTGATTCTTCTCGAATCTTCACAGAGATGCTCCAAATGAGAACAAAATGAACTAAAGATCATCATCAGAGATCATCTTTACGTCTGTGTAAAGTTGTGCACAACCTGTAGGCCTGTCGGTGACTGCTCTGTGAGCTCAGAGTCTGTCACACAAACACCTCTCTGCGTGGTCCTCTTGCCTGAGGGGGTCCCGGTGCTGGACCGAGTCGCGGCGCTGGGCTGGGCAGCGGAGGGCGACCACTCGTCTCTGTGTCCAGCTGTGTGTCCGGCGTGGCGGGAGGACTGAGGAGCGAGTCGAAGTCAAAGCCCCTCAGAGGCTGCAGGGACAACGTGAGGCCTCGTAGAGCTTTGGCGGCGCGGTCTGGCCTTTCTCTCAACTCCAAAATTACCTGACAGGAACAAACCAAACACTTCATATCAATTCACTTGATCTCTTTGTGTGAATGATTATGAAGCATTCACACTACTGAGATCCATTTTTCTTCCGTACATTTTTCTGCATCTTCCTTGTTCCACAGTTTTTATGCTATTTCATCAAATCATTTATCAAAACATTCAGCTCTTTCAGGAGAAGGGTGCTATGACTTTTGGTATTGGTGCAACTTTAGCTTTTTGAAATATTTAGCCTTTTCTGCAATTTTATTTCTCATAGGAAATGAACTGAGCTCATTTTACATCCTTCAGATCTGTTTACAACCTTTTACTGCTCCTTTCACATTTTGTTCTGGTTCAGCTTCTTTCAACTTTCTTCTGCAAATTCAAACTTTTTTCCAGCTACTTTCAGCTAATTTCAAATCTTTTTTTTAGCTGGTTTTGCTTCTTTTAGATTATTTTATGCTAACTACAACATTTTTGTCCTTCTTCCAAAGTCTTTCTGCTAATTCCAGCTTGTTCTGCTCCTTTCAGCTTTTTTCAAATTCAATTCAAATTCAAATTCAAAAATACTTTATTAATCCCAGAGGGAAATTATTTGTTGTTGTAACTTGTTATCCTCATTTCATTAAGAGATGTTATAGATACTTTTCTGCAAGTTTCAGCTTTTACTGTTATTTCAGTTATTCTGAATTCAGAATTGAGAAAGCTCTTCGGATGAGGAGCGAAACGTCTTCTGTTACAAATAAAGTCCAGTTGTTTTTGTATTGAACGCTTTTTGAATTCATCATGTCCTGGATGACTGAGAATCTTCACCAGCATTTATTTGTGTGTGCTAATTTCTGCCTTTTTGGAAAATTTTCACTTTTTTGTGCTCATTTCTGCTTCTTTCAGCCTATTTGTGCACAATTGTGCTCTCTCCGCTTCTTTCTGATAGTTTAAGCTTCTTTCTGCCTTTTCAGCTACCTTTGTCTAATTTCTGCCTTTTTTTTGTTGCTAAATTCCTAATTTTTGTGCTAATTTCTGCTTATTTAAATCTAATCCAGCAAATATGTGTTATTTCTTCTTTCTTCTGCTAACTTATGCTTGTTCTTCTACAAATTTGTATTTCAGCATGCTTTTTAAGCTAATTTCAGCTGTTTTTCTGCAGGTTCTTCAAGAATAAGCATCCACACTGCATTTTTGCAGGAAATGCAATTTCTCTGGTTTTCAATTTGGCTTTTATGTGGAAAAATAAACAAGTTGTTTACAATCAGCTAGTGACGCATTACCTCCACAGGTTGACGCTGCAGGAGGTCAAAGTCGAACGCAGTTCTGTGGAAGAATGTTTGGCGTTTAAAACGATCCAGGGTCCTCAAGCGACGGGAGGGATTCTTGCACAAAAGCTGCACAAAGGAGTGCGTGCACGTCAGTCATGTGACATTAAATGAACATGTAAAGATCATCATCTGTTGTTGAAGTACCTCAGTCAATAAGAGGGACAGCGGGGGGCTGAAGCTGAGAGGCATCTCGTAGGGAAACCCTCTGACTTTCCTCAGCATGCTGCAGTGGTCTGGTTCTGGAGGCACAGGAAACTATGGAGACACAGGAAGGGAAATATTTCATCAAATTTACTGCTTTGGTCAAACATCCACCATCAATGAAGGACAGACTGTGGGAATGAGCCACTTTCCCTGCAGGACGTACTGGAAACAAGTGCTCACCTTCCCAGTAACCAGTGAGAAGAGCAGGATTCCTAGAGACCACCAGTCAGCTGCATGGTTGTATGGTCCCCCACTCAGAACCTCAGGGGCTGCAGAGCACACCGAACACTCTCAGCTTTCATATTTTTAGAGATTATTACATTCACAGTTCCACTTCACAACACAGAGGAGGTAAAAGGCTCGGACAGTATGTTTGGACGGATTTATTCCAGTGTTTCTCACCCATATACCGGACGATTCCACTCACCCATGTACTGGATGGTTCCACAGATGGTGAAGGCTCTGCCTCCTCTCTCCAGGCGACGGGACAAACCAAAGTCAGCTAAGCGGAGGTGGCCTAAAAGAGACCATTACCTCTGCATCACTAAGAGCATTTATCATGAATATATGCATTCTTCACTCCATTATAAACATGCGGCACTCCGATGTCCCCCGTCTGAGGGATTTCAACAGAGAATGTTCGTAGTTTTGGAGTTGTGTTTTTCTGGGCTGGAATTGATCAGGGAATGAAGTAAACCTAAATGTTTTTGGGACAAGATATTCAAGTGGACAGAAGTTTTGTTGTAAAGCAGAGGGAGTTTTTTTTCTTTCTTGTCTAAAGCAGCGCAGAGGGACGGATCCTGGCGAGTGGAGGGAGCAACTTTATCCACCACCAGGTGCAATGGAGGAACAGGGGGTGGCCAATGGTGGCCTTGACCCCCATTGATTAATTGGCTACCCCAATCATTTGAGGAAACTACTTTTAATTGGCATGGTGGAGCAGTTGGTAGAGCTGTCAGATCTCAGCATGAAGGTTGCTGGATTGAATCCCGACTGGGTACCTTTCTGGGTGGAGTTTGCATGTTCTCTCCGTGCATGTGTGGGTTTTCTCCAGGTACTCCAGTTTCCTCCCACAGACCAAAAACATGCATGTTAGGCTGATTGGTAACTCTAAATTGTCCCTAGGTGTGAGTGAGAGAGTGAATGGTTGTTTGTTTCGTTTGTATCCATGTGTCCCTGTGATGGACTGGAGACCTGTCCATATATATGTCCCCCACCTCTCGCACAGTGACTCTGCTGGATATGGGCTCTAGTGACCCAACC